GATTTCTTGGAATGGTATTTCTTTGCCATTTTTGTCATATGGATTCAACATCCAAAGTTGATATTCTTGTGTAGCAGGAAAAATACCAAAATCAGCATCAAGTTTATTGTTATTTAATGCGATTTTCTTCATAATTTTATCAAAAAGAAATTGATCGTTTTGATGATAAATATATTCTTTTAAGATGGGTTATCTAAAACAAAAAAAAGCAACAACAACTATTTCATTTGAATAAATATCTAAATGTAGAATGAAAGCAAGAAGAAAAAAGAAAGTATGAATAACGAATAAATTGAATATTGATTAACGAAAACAAAAGCGTAGAATAAAAAGAATTAGCTTAAAATATAATAAAAAGACTAGACTTAAGTTAATATACTAAAACTACTAAACACATCTAAATGGTTATGTAATAATTTTATAATAGAGATGTTTTCATCATGCATTATTATGAATCATTATTCAGGATAGTTGGCTGGACGACGATTGAGTTCTTTTATCTTTTCAATTATTGAAAGAATAAATTCTGTACTTCTTAGTGTTGGACGCGGCATTTGTGACTTCCATTGAGGATCATAGGGTAGACCATAAGGTCGCTTAGGATTAATGTCAGTTGGACATATCATGTTTAATTTCGTTTCACAATGAATAATAAATAATGTTTCAATAAGGTATCGTAAGATGATTGATTCATCAGTGGGTACTAGACGAAAAGAATAAGAGAAATGTAATTTTTCTAGAAAAACAAATAACTTGGAAAGTTCACTTACAAACGGCAATAATTTTCATTTGATACAAATCAGTTTCTATGTATGGTAATTCATCAACAAGACTTGTAAGAAAACGATCAAAAAATAGTCGTTGTTCATGTTTTTGTACGCATGAGAATTTACTTCGTGTTGCTGATAAGGGTACATGACATAAAAGGTCTACTATTTTTCGTTGATGTTCTGTATCTACTGCTAGCATCAAGATGATTTCTGAACGAGTAGCTCCAATAATTCTTGCATAGAGATCATCTTCTCTGTGCGTTTCATCTTCTAACATTGGAATAAAACACCAATAACTTGGATTACGATCAAGAAATAGTTGAAGTGCCACTGGACAATGAGCTGAATGTTCATAGAGACGCATTTCTCTCATGATATAATGTCTAAAATAGATTAAAAGAAATCGATGAAAACAATAAGTATTTTTATGAATGTATTGTAAAATAAAGCACATACTGATATTGTTCTGATGTTGTCATCATTTGATGATAGAGTGCTGAACCCGTTAAATAACTATGTATCATTTGATTGCATACCAATCGATGATCTATAAATAAATAAAATAATTTAATAATTAAACACAGAACTCTATATTTTACTTCACAGCATATTACAATTCCATTTTCTTATTTTTCATATTGAGTGAAAAGACGTAAGTATCGTTTAAAAATATTTCTCAATAGAATTG